CCTGTCCTGCACACCATGCTCCAGACCAGAATCCTACCCCCTACTCCCTGGCTGGACTGGAAAGGGGGGCGAAGTTGCAGGGGAAACCCAGGGCTCAGATACCAGGGGCATGGGCACCCTGGAAATGAGAGAGCAAACTGAAGGAGAGGTATGTGAAAGGCATGGACAGATGGGCTGACAGATGGATGGGCTGATGGATGAAAGGATTGGTGGATGGGTTGCTGGACGGATGCATGGGTTGACAGATGGATGGGTTGACAGACAGATGGGTTCATGGATGGATGGATGGGTTGAAGGCCGATGGACAGATGGATTGACGGATGGATGGGTTCATGGATGGACAGATGGATGGATGGGTTGACAGACAGATGGTGTCAAGGCTGAATCCCTTTGTTCACTTCGTCACTCCGAGCGTAGAAGGTGGGGGCCCGCAAGGATTTTAAAAATTAATACCGGCCATTCCAGGTTTGTATTAAACTCCCAAGGTTACAGCTTCTCTCTGATCTTGGCTTGGTAAACGCTGCCACCACCCAAATGCAAAAAACCCGCTTTGAACCCAGGAAGAAGTACTTGGGAATTCCACCCTGTGGGGTGCCCTCAAGCCCTTTCACCCCCCTCCAGGGAAGAGGTGAGAAAGAAAACAAAGGAAATTAGCTGTGGCTACCAGCTAATCAAACAACATGCACAAACCTCTTAGGACACCAGTAATCCAATTCTGTTCTTAAAAAAGGTCAATTTTATAAAAAACAAAAAGGGAAAAAATACATCTGGAACTTAGGCTTTTTGCTAAACCTTAGAAGAAACAATTACAAAAATTAAGCACCCAAAACAGCATTCTTGGGGGTTCAGCTTAAAGGTTACAAGCAAACAAAAGCATCAGGGGTTAGCACAGAGGAGTCCACAAGAAAATAAACCTGATCGCGTCTAGCTAAACATTCCAAATTTACTTACATATTTGGGGGGTCAAAATAAGTAATTCTAGGTCTGATCTGATGAATTTTCATACCTGGTTCAAGCCTTACACAGCATCCCGGCTTACAGCATTGCTGCTCCGTCCCTGCAGCCCAGAGAACAGACAAAGGGAAAGTTTCTTTCCCCATTTTAAAATGTTCTGGCCTTCCCATTGGCTCTTTTGGTCAGGTGCCCACTTTTTTTTTCTTTACCTGGGGGACTTTTTAACCCTTTACATCGGGGCAGGCAAACTTTTTGGCCTGAGGGCCGCATCAGGTTTCAGAAATTGTATGGAGGGCCAGTTAGGGGAGGCTGTGCCTCCCCAAACAACTAAGCGTGGCCTGGCCCCCGCCCCCTCCCCCCCCATTTCTCACCCCCTGATGCCCCCCCTGGGACTCTTGCCCCATCCACCACCAACCCACTCCCAATCCCGACTGCCCCTAGAACCCCCACCCCTGACTACCCCCCACCGCCCCATCCAACCCCCCCTCTCATTCCTGACTGTCTCCCTGGGACCCCTGCCCCATCCAACCACCCCTTCTCTCTGACTGCCCCTGGGACCCCTGCCCCATCCAACCGCCCCTTCTCTCTGACTGCCCCTGGAACCCCTGCCCCTGACTGCCCCCTGCTGCCCCATTCGACTCCCCCTCCTTCCTGACTGCCCCCCGGGACCTCTGCCCCCATTCAACCCCTCTGTTCTCTGCCCTCTGACCACCCCGACCCCTATCCACACCCCCACGCCCTGACCACCACTACCCCAACTCCCGTGCCTTCTATCCTACCCCACCTGCTCCCGGCCTCCTTACCACGCTGCCTGGCGCACCGGTGGCTGGCGGCGCTACAGCTGCGCCGCCTAGCTGGAGCCAGCCACGCACCGCGCAGCACAGAGACCAGGTCAGGCCGGGCTCTGCAGCTGCGCTGCCCCAGGAGCTCGCCGCGCGCCACCCAGAGCATTGCGCCGGCGGTGGAGAGAGCTGAGGCTATGGGGGAGGGGGAACAGCAGGGAGGGGCTGGGGCGAGCCTCCCAGACCAGGAGCTATGGGGCCAGGCAGGAGGGCCGTAGTTTGCCCACCTCTGCTTTACACGTAAAGCAAGTAACGAACAGCTACCAAGAGGGATTTTGCAGCTAACTGGCTGGCTGGGTGTCCATCAAAGAGAGCTATCCCCCCACTTTATTTATCACAGATGGGTTCATGGATGGACGGATAGATGGGTTCATGGATGGCCAGATGGATGGATGGGTTGAAGGACAGATTGGTTGATGGAGGGATGGGTTGGTTGTTGATTGATTGTATTGCAGCTTACAATCTCCTCCCACCTTGATGTCCTACCCCATGGGCTGTGTTTGGGGCTGGCGTGGCTGGGTTTTTCACTGCTGTTAGACAGAGGTTCCTGTTGACGTTCTTCTCCTCGCAGCTGTGGCAGCCCTTGTCATCGCACCAGTACAGGGGCACGTTACAGAGCGTGCGCCATGCGTCCCATTCAAACTGCTTCCCCCGGTGTCTGTTCTGACCAAAAACCTCCTGGAAGGCCAAGGCACGGCAGTCACTGTCTATGGCACTGAAGATCCCGTCCATGAGTTCCTAGATGCGATGGTCCTCCTTCACGTCCTTCCAAGGCGCGGATTACCTGGCACTTGGTCTGGCCCCAGGCCTTGTCCAGGAGGCGGGAGACGGGGCTCACCCCATTCTGGTCCAGGCTGAGCATCAGCCACTCAGAGTGCAGGGAGTGGTTGTCACTTTTGTCAGGTTTGACGGCAATGACTTGATCCCCCTCATACAGAAGGTCCTTCTCCAGCTTGGATTCATCGCCTGGAGCTCGGCCATGGGCAGGTGCTTCTTCAGCTGACTCGGGCTGGTGCCTTTGCACATGAACTGCGGCAAGGAGATGGACACCATGTACAGACCGGTGGGGGGAAGGTGACGGGGCGATACCTGGGGGAGAGGGGGATTGGGGGAGTCTGAGCCCAGGGGGAATCACACACCGAGCACTGAGCTAATTAACATGAACTGTACAGACACCTGCATGGACCCCAGACATTCATCCTCCCCCTGCACCCTCAGGTCCCCATCTCCCCCCTACACCCTGAAAATCACCCCTCCCAGCTTCAGGCCCCATCTCCCCCTGCACCCCCAGAATCACCGGTTCTGAGGCAGTAGCTCTAGGTAACCCTGTGATACCAGCAGACACAAGGGGTCCCTGTTGCTCCATTTGTGGCTAGGGGAGCAGGGCAGGACCGAGACACCCCCATCCCCTCTCAGGCGGGTCACTCACTGGTGGACGTGATCCATGATGACTTTGAGTGCGGCCAGGTCGATGCTCCCGGTGGTCTCTGGCCTGAAGCAGAGGAGAAGGGGCAGCAGCAGGAGTCCAGCCTTGGGCATCTGTCCCGGCACCTGCACAGGACCCCACAGCGTCAGCGCCCCTGAGCCCTGGGCACAAACCCAGAGCCCCCGACCCACATCTCCTAACCCCTGCTGTGCTACCGACAGGAGAGGGGGCGGGGGTGCCCCTGGGCAGGAAGGAGACACCAGGGTTTCCATGAGGCAGGAGACGGTGCAGGGAGGGACTCACCAGGGTTTCCATGGGGCAGGAGACGGTGCGGGGAGGGACTCACTAGGGTTTCCATGGGGCAGGAGCAGGGGGTGCCATCACTCACTGACAGAGGCTCACACCAGATCGCCAGTGATGGGCTCTCAGCTCCCAGTCCCTCTCTTTATAGACTCATTCTCCCTCCCTTCCCCCGCCCCCAACCTGGAGAGTGGCGGTGCCCGCTCCTGCTGTCCCTGTGCCCAACCCAGGGGAGGTGGCCCCAAGTGCCACTCGGCTGCTTTATTCAATATTGCCTTTAAAACAGGCTGTAACTGCTGGGGTGGGGCCAGCAGATAGTGCCCCACTTAAACATAGGGGGCAGCTCACCTCTTTCCCAGCAACTGGCTCAGGCTCTCTGCAAACTCCGGCAGCTTCACTGCATCCATCACACACAGGAGATTTGCCTAGTCTGGGAGTGATTGTCTCAGACAATGGACGGGGATGGCAGGTGGCGAGGGCCAGGGCAGATGTGGGATGGGGCGTGGGGGCGTGGTGAGAACCAGGCAGACGGGGGATGGGAGGTGGTGAGGGCCGGGCAGACTCATTGGCCTCAGCCAGGTGGGACTGGTTTGTCTCATGCTGGGGATCATGGGGTGAAGTTGCTGATTTTCCACCATGTGAGCAAGGGCCACAAAGCTTCAGCGCATCCTGGGGTCTCATCTCTCTGTCCGTGTGTCTGGCTCTCTCCCAACCTGTCCAGTCAGCCACAGACGGCTAGGGACAGGGCAGGAGGCCGAACGTGCCCATCTGTCGCTCAGCGAGATCAGGTTGCCGCTGTCTGTGCCAGCCGCACTGTGCAATGAAATGGGATGTCGGGCAGGTCCCAGCGGATGCCCAGAATCGTGCACAGATCTTGCAGGCGCCGGCTCTCGTGGGGCCGAGTGAACAAGTTGTCGACTGATTTTCCAGAAAGTTTCTTTGCTCTCGGTGGTCCATGGCTTCCCGAAAGCTGCACCCGCATGGAAGTCCTGATCCTGGGGGGTTCCCCTGCTTCTTATTCTCAGGGGGTATCCGCAGGATGTGGGGGAAATGCCTTATGAACCTGCGGTGACAGCTGCGGAATCCCAGAAACGACAGTGAATCCTGTTCTTCGGGGCCTGCTCAGCGAGCGATGGCCCCATAGTGAGGGGCTGAAGGCACAGCCGGGGGGTGGGTGTTTGGGGTCACACAGCCATCAGGGGAGACCCCGGTCTGCATGCCCCTTCTGCGCCCAATTGGTGCCCCTGGGGACTATGGGGCAGGGCGGGTCGTGCCCCTTGGCAGCTGTGTTGGTGCCTGGGCCCTGCGGGCGCTCGCCCTGGGGAGGGCGTTTAGAGCCCAGCCTGGCTGAGTGTGACACTCCCTCCCCTCCCCACCCCCCTGCATCGAGCTGGCACAATCATGCCTTGAGAAATAAGCGGCTCCTTGCGGCCTTGATGGTGGCGCAAGACCTGTGAGGTCGGCAGCCTCCAGCCCCCCACGGGAGCAGCCTCTGGCGACTTCATCTCCAGCAGGGAGTGGAGAGCAGGCGGAAGCCTCCGTCCCTCCTGAGTCCCTCACCCTTCCTCTGTCCCCAGCCCTGGGACCCCGCAGGAGAATCTGGCTGGCATCCAGGTTAGAACGAGGCACCAAGCAGGGCAGAGCTGGGGTCTCCAGCGGGCAGGAGGGAGGTGGAGCAGCACAACGAGGATTTCTCCGGGAGGCATGCGGAGAGGGTGTCTCTAGTGGGTGGGGGAGAGCAGGGATCACCGCGGAGGCCAGGGGCAGGGGGAAGAGCAGGGGGCAAAGGAGAGAGCAGGGGGCATTGGGCAAGGCAGGGGGCAGAGCAGGGGTACAGGGGAGAGGAGGGGGCACAGGGCAGAGCAGGCTGTGCAGGTCTTGTTCAGTCTGTCCTGCAGCCCCCCAACTCGACCCAGAGAAGGCTGGGAGGTGCCAGGCACCCAGACATCCTCCCTTGACCCCTGAGGGTCCCTTCCCCCAGCCGGCCAGAGCAGGGCCACAGCCGCTGGCCAGGGCTCCAGGGTGCTTGAGTCCTTGGGGAGCCAGGAGCCCAGGGGCCAGCCGCGGGAATCGGGGCTGGAGCAGCTCCCCAGAGGGATGAGGTGATTCCCCATCGCTGGGGCTCCGTGTTGCTCTCACTCTGGCTACGCCCAAGGCCTGGGCTGGACACAGGGAGCACAGGCCCGGGACTCAGGAGTCTGGCTGGACAGCCCCAGCCTACTCCTAGCCGTGGACCCCGCACTGAGGGCAGGACACTGGCTGGCCTCTACCCCCCACCCACCCCCCCAGCCTCCACCCTCTGGGAGCTCCTGGTGACCGGCTGGATGTGTGGCCGAGGGGAGGGAGGCATGGAGCCTCTAACCACCAGGGGAGCCATTGGGCTGCATGTCCCATCTGCGCCCAACCAGTGCCCACGCCCCGGGGAGGCTGCGTGTGGGAGCCAGACCCCCACTGGGGCCAATGGGGCAGGATGGGACCTTTCCCCCCCGCTCCCCCATTTCAAATGCAGCTTGGGAAATAAACGGCCCCTTGCAGTGGTGAGGGTGGATCAAGAACTGTGGGGCCAGAAGGCCTCGCTACTGAGTCTCACACCATGCTTGGGGGCACACGCCCCTCGCCCCTCCCCCCCCAGCCTCAGCCCTGGGACCACTTCCAGGGGAATCCAGCTAGAACGGGCTTTGGCCTGAGTCAGAACTAGGGAACAAGCAAAGCGTGTCTTGCACGCCACGTACCCAGCATGACCACTGGGGGCACTGCTGCCCCCTCACCCATTAACACACTCAGCATTCACACTGCATGTACCAGCTTGGCCACTGGGGGGCACTGCAGCACCCCATTCGCACCCAGCATTTAAACTGCATGTACCAGTATGGCCACTGGGCGGGACGGGT